GTGATAATCTGACCTCTTATCACGACATTATCTCAACCGAGAGATGGGAAATGCGCTTCTTTGGTTTCTTCTTGAGCCTTTGTGAAGCGAACGCATACAGTTCCTTCAGGGTCTTCTCTGAGGAAGGTGCCTCAAGGAGCCACTCGTCCTTTAAGGACAATTTGGCCTTCAACTTGCTTGAACATTGTAAGGAATTGAAGTCAAGATACAATGAAGTGGCTCAAGACAGCAACCGAATGCTTAGAAGTGATTCTTGAGGTATTGGTTGTTGTTGTTGTTAGTACTCGGTAATGTGTAGAATAAAAGCAAAGAAGTTATGAGTCTCTGTTTTATCCTTTTATTAGAAGTGAGAGGAGGAGCTCATAGCAAAAAGAAATTAGGTTGTTTTAAAAGAGGTCGGAGTACTACCTAAGGTACATGTAATTAAGTCAAATGTAATCTCACACGTAAAGATTAGTATTAAACATGGTCAAATACGACAATTCTAACCATTCCTACGTCTCCATGAGTAATGCAGGCAACAAAAGAAAGAGATTGGCATGCCGTAAATGCAAAGAAAGCGGCACTAATGGCAAACGGGTTGAAAAATTTTGTAGTTGTGACTCCACAATCCCCTTGTGCTTCGACTGTCATAATCAACACTTGAAGGCTGTCTAGCTTCGCCAGCTTTATTAAAAATAATTCTTCATAACTTTGTCTACAATATTTTATTTTTTTTTCAATAACAAAGCTTCAAGTTGCTATATCACTTTATTCATCAAAGGGTCAGCCCAAATGAGCCGATTGGTTTTTTTGAAAAACCGACCAACTTCAAAACGATATGGTTATGAGGCAAAAGTACTCACTTCTTTATAAAAACTCATCTATAGGCAGAATACATATCTAATAATACGTGTTGGAATGGATAGCAGCAGTAAATGATTTTTTATCTAATCAAAATATTATTTTATAGTCGGTCCAAATGGGCCGATTGCCAAATTTGTACTCGTTAATAATAATAAAAAAAAAAACACAAAAAACAAAAAATAAGCAGAAATAATGACGTTGGTAAAAATGACTTTATTCGTATTAAAAATCAAAACACGGTAAACGTCACGGATATACCTACATACGGCTACAAAAGGAAATTTTACAGGAAATCCCTGCGAAAAAAAACGAAAAAACAAGCCTTCTTCTATAAGAACAACATACCTAAGACTAAGATAAATAAAAATAAACAAAAATAAAAATAAAATTATTTTATAAAGTTGAATGAGTTCCTTTACAGGAACAAATTCAATGACAAGGGCTTAATCTCAGTACATCGTAGCAACAAAGGCTACTCTAGTACTTACAATCCCCCGTCCATTTCACGTCGTCTGCGTGCGATTTATCACTTTGATCGTTAGCATTATCATCACAGGGTAGTAAACCACAGCTTTTCCGCCATGATCCCTATCCCGCAAGTAAGGTTTTCAACCAAAAGGTTTATTTGTACACATCTATACATCAAAG